TTTCATTTTAAGTCAATATTCCAGAAAAATGAAAAAGTCATGATTCATTTTATGTAGAAAAAATAGCCTATTTTTAATTAACATTACTTTTCTGGATTTCTTTTCCTTTGTCTTCTTTTTTTTTAATTATTAAAGTTAAAGTTCTATTAGATGAATCTGACTTTTTCTAAAGACTCAGATTTCCAAGAAGACATAATAAAATGAGACATGGCCTCTGAGTTAGGCAACCTGGCAAACTAAAATGGCTAAAAGAGCAAAGGCTACTTGGCCTTAGGAAGAGGAAAAATTAGGAGGCAATAGCACACAGTGGTTGAGTTAGCTGACAGCCCCAGGAAGATGTATTTGCTTCCATTGTCATTAGAAGGTAGAAAAAAGCAAATCAACATATTAGTAAACTTTTCCTGTTTTTTACCCAGAAAATCAGTAAGTGTAGGTCTTCCTTCATCTCAGTTTGTTTCAAATCCTGCTTGTTCATAGTATAGTTTTTTTTTTTAACTATACTGGTGGACTGAAATTGTTTATATTTTTACTTAGGATTTTTGCAATTGTATTAATAAATGTGAACTTCATTAAAAATTGGGATTAAAGTGTATATATATATATGTATATGTGTATACATATATATATATATATATATATATATATATCTCCTGTTTAGCCAATATTTTAAAATATTTGATAGAATTCACCCATAAAACTATGAAGGCCAGGTACCTTTGGAGGAGAGATTTTGTTTTTTTTTTGTTTTTTTTTTGAAAAACTACTCCAATTTCTTTTAGGACCTTGGTCCTATTAAAATTTGTACTTCTAGAGTAAATTTTGATACCTTCTTTTTGCTTAGAAATACATCCACTTCACTGTGATTTCTCACATATTGAACCATAGTGTTTTGATTCTACAAATTCTTGGATACCAAGTGGAGAAAGACATAAATTGCTCAGTTGGAAACCTATGTATTCTTCATGATTTTTTTCTAGAATGCAGATACCTACACTCAGACGTACTTGCCCAGACCATGCTTGTACATATGATCATTAACCATCCTTTGTGTCAGACTTCAAGACTCTCTTCCTTCCTGTCAGTTGCTGAGCCATGAATGGGGATTTAGAGAAAACATTTCTTCTGGTTACCAATGAGATGTTCTCATTGTGAGTAATTGGAAATGAGACCATTGATTTTTGAAATTATTTCCCAACAGGTCAAGGGTAACAACAATGACAAGAAATCCATAGCTCCAATTTTCATGGTCTAGAGCTACTCACACCAAGGAATTTCCAATACCAGCAAAGCAGAGCACTATTTGCACAAGCACTGGGGAAAACCCAGTGCTTTCTCCACCGGTGGATTTATTTGCAGAGACACAGGCATTTTTTCCAGGGTGGCTGCCAAACTATCTCCTGAGCCTGTCTAGCTAGCACCTGGGCCACTCAGCAGGGGGCTTTGCAAATAATACCCCCCTCTTTGCCAGGGTAGAGGCAGCCTGAGTGATTGTTTCAGCCTGCTATGGCACCTTAATCTTCTAAGCTGCTCCACTCCTATTCTGGGGCTTACTCAAGCATGGCTGGCCGGAGGTGTGGCCACAGAAGCTTCAGGCTTGAGGCTGAGAGCAAGGGCCTGGGCAAACAGTAAGCATGGGCAGAAACTTGCAGCTCCTGGAGAACTTCTGTGTTCTTCAAAATTTGAACATCCGGGGAAGCTGCCGTGGGTCTGGGTGTCATTCTTCGATCACAATTTAAAACGATATGGCAAGATGACAAAAGCCACTGACTGGGGGAGAAGAAAGGGAACCAATAATGATTCGGCACAAACCCACATTCCAGGCAGGCTCTGGTTGTTCCTATGGTATAAAAAACCGTCTCCTTTCTTTCTTTTTTTTTTTTTTTGAAGGGTTGATAGAACTCACATGAGCTACTGTTTTAATGTTCACATTCTTCCGTAAGGATCTCTTACTCTACCCAATGAGTGTTGCGCTGCTGTTTAGCAAAGAACTCCTCTCTTTAAATGACAGTTCAACGGAACTTATTCAGTATTTACATTCATACTTAGCTATCTGTTCTATCATCCCTGATGAGATCACTGTTATTTCAAGTAGAGAACTCCTTTCTGTAAGTGAACTTTTATTGCACCCCCATATAAAGGTGAAGCTCCTTAGGTTAAAAGAGGTCTCAATCTCGTGGCCCCTGAGATAATACCCCAGAGATCCCAGGATAAAAGCCGCTGAGTTAGATTCTCTCTAAAATTTCTTCAGCTCTACTTATTTTCCTCTGTAACCAGAAAAATAAACCAATGTCCCCAGCGGGGAAGGGTCCCTCCTTCTAAGTGATTTTGGAGACATCTGGAAGGAGTCTATGACCATGGGCAGGAAATGAGACCTGGAGAGAGACAAGAAGGAAATACGGGAGGCAGAGACACTTTGACAGACAATACTGCGTGCAGGCAAGGGGCAGCCACGAGTGATGGCACTAGCTCAGAAGACCTTGCGTTTGGTGGGGACAGCTTCCAGCCCCTAATCGCTTGGGTGTCCTTGGACCGAATCTGAAAATGTAAATTTATTCCTGTGTACCATGTATCTTTTTATGCATCTACCACTGGGAGAGAAACATACCAAGTCAGTGATCTCTTCATGTTAACGTCAGTAGATGGCTCCATCCCTGTGAACAGAGGGAGGCCTGGGGCCAAGCTAGGGCACTAAATGCTTGGCAAGGGGCAGAGACTCTTCCTGAAGGGAGAATGGATTATGAACAGAGAGAAAAAAAAAAAATCCAAAGTCACACTTGGTCAGCTTCAGAATTTTGCCCTTGCCTTGCTCTGTAACTTAAATTGCCTTTCTTACGAGAAGCAAAAACATTTCAAAAAAAAAAAAACTTTTTGGAAAAAAAAATATGGTATGTAGGAATCCTTCGGAGAAAATCAACATGGTGGCTGCTCTGATTCTAAGAAGCCTTTAACCTTTCATAATTTTTTTGACCCTCGTGGACACTCAAGGTTTCAGTGACTTGCCCACGTTTCCCTCGGAGGCCACATCAAGATTTTTAGAAATGAATTTATTGGAGGCAGGTCTTCCGACACCCAGAGCAGTGCTCTCTTTATTTTCCCTTTAGTTAAAAAAGTTACCCTTTAGGTTTTTTACTCCAGTGTCTTGATCTTCCCTCCAAATGGTTATGTTGCTGGTGAGGGCCAGGTATGGCACAATTTATTTCTTCAGTACCTTTTCACAATTTTGCTTAGATATTGTATCAGTTGCTCTCTAAAATTGTATCATCTGTTTTCCTTTACAGACATTTCCTTTGTATTTTATGTCTTTAGGAGTGTTTGTGGACCCCAGAACTTGGCAACCCGTGGTGAATATTTGATGCTTTCCTGTGACTTGCATTCAGAGACATCTATTCCTCACCTCTGCATGTGTGAGTAAGTTAATTGTAAAAATGTGATGATTTTTAGCTGTCAATCTTAAAGAAAACTTGTACATCATTTAGGATGATAAATAGAGATAACAATGAAGAAATCAGCCTTTCTTTACTATGCGTTGGTGAAGCTTATACTTTCAAGTATAACATGAGTACTGACAGGTGTCGAGACATGTATGTGGAACAAGGTTTGTGATCAGGTTTCGGATCAATGCCAAGAAGGGTGGTACATATTATTCTAGATCAGCACCGTCAGATAATTTAGAGTCACAAAAGCAATGATCTGAAGCTACATTTTAAATAAACCTCCTATCAGAAAACATTACCACCTGCTGTAACTTCCTAGTAACTTTAGTCGCTACATGGATTATCCAATCTGATTTAAAACAGACTGGTGTTAAATAAGTACAAGATGCCATTACATTACTGCAAATGCCTTCTCCCTTTCAAAGGAGGTTAGGAGGCAGTGGGGGGATTCCTTCTTCCCTCCACTCAGGGAATAAATACTTTGGCATAGAGGGACCTAGGCATGCTCTTTTGCACCATTTAGTTAGGAACACTGGAATTTAAATATATGCCATTGATAGAAAAAGAGCTGAAACTGGAAAAATATTGTTACTATTTAATAATTTTGAGATTCTAAACACCCTCATGACAACAGGGTCAAAATATAAAGTTTCCATCATTTAGGGGAAAGCAAAAGAAGACCCGTGAGACATGAGGAGGGCTCAGTGTACAATGACATGGCGGACGGCAAGGGAGGGGCAGCTGCGAATGACGCTCAGTCAGGTTCTCAAGTGGGCAAATGATTTCTGCCGATTCTTCATGTTTCTGATGTGAGGCTCAAGGAGACGCCACGACTTTAAACCAAAGCCAAAGAGGTAAAGAAAATTTTCAAAAGCCATACAACCAGTGTTCTAAGTATGAAACCTGTTGCCAGTCATCGTCTAAAGAAACATTTTAGAAAGGTTTTGAATTTACATTGGTACTTTTAAAAAATTTTTTTTCTTTATTTTTTTTTTTTAATTTTGTTGGGGGGAGGTAATTAGGTTTATTCATTTACTTTTGTTTTTGGAGGAGGTACTGGGGATTGAACTGAGGACCCCGTGCACGCTAAGCAAGCTCTCCATCACTTGAGCTATGCCCTCCCCTCTGGCACTGAGTTCTGAGTTCAACCAGAGTAGAAACAATACAAGCTCTCACTCCCCATATTTCAAGTAATGTATTTGCCATTCTGTGACTTTTGGGACCATAATTCCTTGTTCTTTGAATCGTTCGACATTAACAATTGTTCAATTCAATTTAGCTCACAACCTTGTTCTAAGCCAAAGCTTTTGTTGTCTTTAAATTTTGAGGGCTTAAGTTAAACCTGTGAGAAGAGGTTTCAGACAGAAATCTGGCCCACTGCTACAAGCATCTGAGGTAAAAAAAAGCTCATTTTTAGGAGCTGCATGCATTGATGTGTGGTCTGTCTAATGAAGAACTGTAATAACAGGAAAACTGATGTTACAGTCTCAATTAGCCTGCTGTCCACTAATTGAACACAGATCCAAAAACTACATGTCACAGTTTTAAAAAAAAATCAAACGGCACTGAGCTTGTAATGTATAGTTTATTTTGCACAAGCTTGCATATATACTGCACATACATTCAGTTTAAGAGAAGATGGAAGGCACACAAGGCAATTGGACTACTGTATCCTTTAAGTGGTACAAAGCAAAAGGTAAAAGTTCGGAGAGAATACAAAAGCTGAAACACACAAAGTAAAACCCGCTTCCCACCCTCCCCCCGACAACTTTTTTTTTCTTGTTTTAAAATTTAGTAGCTGCCAAACTAAATTTTTTACTTTTACTTTAAAATCAATTGTCTACTGCACCTTTTTTATTTACTTTTTAATATGGACAGGGAGTCTCATTGTTTTTTTTTTTATCATATCAATTAATATTACAGTACATCCTTGGTAATACAAAATTGTACACCTTCATCAAATAAATTAGGATAAATTAAACCAATAAATTATGCAAAGTCTTCAGAACAATAGACAACAACAAAAATCCACAGTTGAAATTGCCTCTAGCTAAAAAAAAAATCAAAAATTGACTTTATCAGTTCAGTTATTGTACTATATTCAAATCAAAGGGTCTTTATTACAAAAAAAAGAGCTTAATAATGCTATTTACAACATATTGCTAAATAATATAAAGGCAGTGTTTTGTCACGGTTTATACTATATACATACAAGAAATGGCTGGGACAATATTGGGGGAAGCCACGACCTTTGATTCTTCTAGGTATTGCAGAGAACAACCCCCAAAATATTTGCTTTCCTAATTCTAATTTTGAGGTGGTAATATACAATTTTAAAATGCTTTTGCCCCGCTAGGGGGAGGATTCAAATATTTTAAAAATAAAGAATGAATCCATTTTCACAAAAGAAGGCCAATCTGCTTACTTTTTCTGCTCATGTTTGTGCATTTTAGGGGGTATCAGATTTGAGAGAGGGCTTAGTTGAAAAGACTCAAAGTCCAGATGCTTCCAGATTCTGTTATATCCTTAGAAGGACGATTATAAGAAGATGCAAAGGTTAAATACCAGTTTTGATCCCAGCTCTGAACACGAGTATCTTAGCTTTAGTTTTATAGATGGTTTACAACCAACAGATCTACAGAAAACAAAACTGCATTTCCTTCAACATCACATGTAAGTGCAAGACAGTAACTGCTCACTCATATGAACCAGTTACGTTCTTTTAAGGGGAGCTTTTTGAAAACAGTGCTTCTTGTAATTTGCAAACACAGAGTTTGTACCAGAACGAAACATTTGTACTATTCACACCAATGAATATTCTATAATATACACGGCAAAGAGATTCTGCTCTGTCCTCACCTGCACGCTGCTTCTTTCAGGGGAGTCTGTAAACCACTTTTCCTTGGATGAATTTATGATTGCTTTTGGGGAACATCCTATTTTTAACGCTCCCCCAATCTTTAGCTTTATGATTTAATTCGACCTGTATGTATGTGTGTGTGTGTGTGTGTGTGTGTGCATGGGGAGGGGGGTTATATCCTAAATGTCTTCATGTACATAGAAAAGAAATTTCATAAATTTACAGAAACTGCATTACCCTTGCCCTTGACATCTGATGAAAGAGACTGTTATCTTTTCAAAGTAGAGAGCAGGATTTTCAAGAATGCTTTCAACTGTCTACACAGTCACCGTAGTGTTCCTAATAAACTCAACAGATGTTGTGAGAATGTAGTTATTTATTAAAATCTCATGTCTTATGTAACAACAGCCATGAGGTTAAATATTTACATTGCTTTATAAAAGTTCCCCTCTTGCTTTAGTGTTTTTGTTTTGCTTTTTTTTTTGTTTTTAACATTAAAAAAATGATATTCACCCACATCCCCAGCACAGCAACAGAGATTCTGCAAACATAAAACACTTTAATTAAATAATACTGGAGGCACAAAGCAAACTTCAGGAATATGTGGGTGAACATTTCCTTAAATAATTTCTACATTCTACCATCTTCCACGTGGTTTTACCATTTAAGTGAAACGTCCTCATTAAACAGCCAGAGATACAGTAAGAATTAAATGTTTTGTTGTTGCAAATAGAACATTCTTTTCACAAAACATAACAAATGTCTAAAATAGGTCCTTAAATCTAGATAGGAAAAGGTAAGCTTTCCACTTCACACGCATATATATATGTATATTTTTACATGTGTGTATATGTGTGTATGTGTTTTTATGTTCACACATCTGTACACACATATACAGCACATGGTATGAAATATTGCTTCTATACTACTTCTCATTAGGCTAAGAAAACACAAGATTTGCACCACAGTTACAAAAAATTGGCTTCTACAAGAATTTTCAAAACTCGAATGCTGCTCAAACAATTGAGGAAAAAATAATTTGCGGTATCAAACTGTTCTAAAAATTCTCTTCTTCAAAAACGTATTCTCCCGCTTTGTTTTAAAAAGACACAAAATATGCATAGCTATCAACGTTATGTCAAACAGCCAGAAAAAAAAATCTAGTGTTTATTGCAGCTGTAGTAATTGGAAATAAAGTCAAAAGGATGAAATCAAAAGCCACAGAAGGCACAAGAACAATTGTACTTGTGGGAAAAAACTGGTATTTTGAAGGATTTTTAAAAAATCCCCCCGCTGGTGCATTTAGGTCTAGGCACAGACTATAACCTCAAGTGTAGATCAAAAATAATTTAGGGTTAGCAGAAAATAAGTAGAAATGTGGTATTTCAACATGGACTTTAGACTGTTTCTCTATGTAAACTGTCCCTCAGCCTTCACCCTCCCACCAGAGAAAGTTAACTTTCTCGCAAGTAGCCAATTTTTACTTGGTGAGAGTTGAGCTAAGATTTGAAAGATGGTGATTAAAAAAAAACAAACTTGTTAAATAGGAGTTTTTTGAGAGACAGGCTTTTGTCATTTTCCAATGCACTGGGAGGCACAAGATTTTCTGATTGTAAAAGAGAATAAAAGAAAATAAATCACCTAAAAGCAAAATGATTGTGTTCTATTTCCAGGACAATGAGGTGAGCTTATTCTCACACTGCAATTTCTACTCTGAAATAATTTCTATGCCTTAGTGAACATTGGGAGGATATTACCACAGATAAGCACATCAACATTTGGTTGTGAACACATACTTTTGCTTAATTCATCTATTTCAATTAGAAAGGCAGGGGAGAATCACACTAAAAACCCAAATAAGTCTGGAATCAGTACCGAATTTTGCCCCAGATCAAGAAGATCCAGCAATCTGCCTATATGTGTGAATACACTATGGTTTTGCCTTTTACCTTGCAAATAGTAACACAATGGTGATGTGAATTACACGGGATAGCAGAGACCCAGTTGTATCCTAAAGCCAATGATGAAAGTCATACATTCGTACATGAAGCAAGGCAAAAGAGCGTGACCACAAGTTGAGATTGCTTCCCTACTTTGTGCTGATTGGATTTGGGGGGGGGGGCGGGTGGTGGAAAGTTTTGCATTATATTCCAATGTGATCATTATCCAATTTTTTTTTTTTTTTGCCCCAAACAAGCAGGAACAAGAACAAATCGGATCTGATGGCTCTGTGTGCGCTGCTGTGTTGGAGAGTGCAAGCTGGGTGATGGGTTTGGCTGTGGGTGCAGAGCGAAGCCGGGGGTGTTCCGGCCGGCGCCCCTGCACTCTGTCCACCCCGCGAGCGGCTGTGTCTCCTGAATGAGGCAGGCATCACAGGACTGCGCTGTTTAACTTAAAGTCAGCAGGTTTTAAGGCTTTGTGCTGACAATAATTGCCTTCATACATTCCTGTCCATCAGCAGAATTTATAAATGATGTGAAATTACAGCGATTGGGTCAGCTAGTTAGTCACATGGGTCAACCTGCATTCTCCAAAGTCAAATGTAATTTTTATAAAAATCAAGGGAAAACAGTATTTATGTTGTATATGATCTAAATACCAGGTTTGTTGCTGTGTTATTTTAGGAAACGTACATCAAATTCCCTAAGGGGAGGGAGGGTTCTGGAAAACACTATTAGAATGAAAAAGGAATTCTTACTGCATCTGCACACAAAATCCACTGAAGAAAACAAGTGTGAATGCTGTTTGGCTTTTTAAAAGCAAGGATTGGACGTTGTATACCTTTGAAAATCTGGGGAGGGGGGAAGAAAAAAAAAAGAGGAGAACCATTGAAGAAAGCACGAAATAGCAGCTGGCTTTCTTATGTGTGCTGAGATTGTGTCTTTTGGGTGAACTCCCAAACTCTCCCATCCTATACACTCTTCTCACGTTTTGGTCAATACTAGCTTCTCAATTAGAAGAGACTTTATCAATTGCTTTAAAATGCTGTATCTAAAACGAAGAAACACTTAATCCGACTGTCACCACTTTGAATATCCATCAGGGTGGTGTGGAAATGTATGTGAAAATAGGTCATTCTCATGTGTACTCATCTCAGCTGCCAAACTTCTAGTGTGGGCAGGAATTTTATGGTCAAGTTGGGATGTCCTTTCTTCCTTACCATAGAAAGGTATTCAGAAAATAGTGGTTTTTTTTTTAAAGTGTTAAATATTAAACAGAAATAATAATTCTTTTTAAGCATATAAACAAGGTTGAGGAAAGAGTACATTTGAAACTTATGTGCCTTTTAATATCTGAAGCAAGATAAATGAAAAATAACACGTGATAGGGGTTTTCTCTATGAAGAATGACATATACTCATTTATTATAGAGAAGAACCTATTGCAAAATTGAGAGGTGACCAGAGGTCACGTGATTTTCCAGTCTCACCTTGTGAAAGAGTCAGTTTTGCGCTAAGTTGCTTTGCCTCCAGAAGAAATTGGTACTAGTTGGGGGTGTTTGCCATTTCCGTCAGGAAAGGCATGATAGTTAGTGATCCTGTTTCTTTTTAAAATTGGGCCTTTTGGGATACTTTTGAAAAGTGAGCTGTCCATCTGCCACTGGTGTTATCTTTAAACATGTCATAAAAAGCTACTTACTGAGTTCAAACCAAACAAAATATTAAACAAAGTTTATCAAGTGGTTTCATTGAGTTTTCTGACCTTCGTAGCAGGAAAAACAAGAGACACATCACTGACTTCAGCGTTGTGCTGTGTCATGGGTTCCCTCCGCCAACCGCCATTTGCAATAAACCATCAATCAAGCAGAAGCATCCTTAACGAATGCCCTTCCTCGCTAATGTAGACTTTATACACGTCAACATTCTTTTTCCCTGAAAATTAACCCTATTTTAAGTCTCCAAATGTTAAGGGCCTTGGGCAAAAGTAAACTAAAGGCGGAAGGAAAAGAACCATCCCCTTGCAATGGAAAACAAGAGAAAAATGAGAGAAAGATGATGAGGAGGAATTACCAGCTGATTTCATAACATATCCATGCCTCCCAGACACATACATATGAAATCAAAATCTAGACACATAAAACTCGGACACCCACAGGGGGCTGCTACTATTCATACATTCGAAAAGAGTTGTTGAAAATTTCTACTCATGAAGCAGCTCTTGTAGGCAGTTTGGGGATTTGAAAATCTCAGGGACTTCACTATCCAGCTTGCAGATGACCTTGTATATGGCCTTCTTCCAGGAAGGATCAACATCTTTGCCTGCGATAATGGCATTGAAAAACTCCCGTAATGTGATCTGCGCAACTTCCAGGAATCTCTCTGGAACCTGCTGATACAAGGAGACAATGGCATTAATAAAGTTTTCAGTTTCAAGTCTCCAGTTCTTCAAAGGAAATTGAGCTAAGTTCTTTCTTTCAGAAAGGGGCTTACATGGCACCTGCATTTTCTAAAAATGGCCGGCCTCTATTCTCTTATGTAAAGACGTTATATATAGTAGCATCGTAACGTGGAGTTGATATCTCTGTAGAGTTTTAGAAAAAGACGGGCACAAGAGATACACGCAGACTTAAAAACTGGGATTCCGTTGTGAATATTCGGGTAGAAAAAGGGGACAGATTGTTGGAATGCCTCACTTCATTAAACAGGAGTATTCCCGGAGCAAGTCTCCACCTCATCTTTCAGAATTTGAATCATATTTCCATTATGAAAGCAAAGTGTGTTCTCAAAAGTAGAAAACAATTGGCTTTTGATATAAACTAAACCCACATTGTAGAGGGAAGAACACCAAAATCTTGGTTTCCTGCTTGTAGCAGAGGATTGATGACTCAAGTCCTAAATTGTATGTTAAAATGATCTTCACTGTAAAGTACAGGCAGACCTCGTTTTATTCTGCTTCACTTTACTGATCTGCTTCAGATACTGCGGTTTTGTTTTGTTTTTTTTAATTTCTTTTTATTTTACAAATTGAAGGTTTGTGGCAACCCTGCATGGACAAGTCAATTGGCACCATTTTTCAAACAGCATTTGCCCACTTCATGTCTCCGTGTCACGTTGTGGTAATTCTTGAAGTATTTCCAACATTTTCATTAATATTATATTTGTTCTGGTGATCCCTGATCAGTGATGTTCGATGTTACTATTGCAAAAAGGTGACAATTTAATGAAGACTCAGATGCTTGTTAGCGTTTTTAGCAATCGTCTTTTTTAGTAAGATACGTATGTCTTTTTAGACTTACTGCTGTTGCACACTTAATAGACTACTAAAGTGTAAACGTAACTTTTATATACACTGGAAAAATTTTTAAAAAATCATGTGACTTGTTTTATCACAACATTCACTTAATTGTGGTGGTCTGGACCAGAATCTGCACTGTCTCCGAGGTCTGCCTGTACCTTATGTACAAAAAAGAGTAAGAGAATGACATTCACACCTAAGCCCCAAAACACAAAATTTGTACTAAAAACTAAAATCCTACATTGGAAAATATCTTTACCTTGAGATTAGGATTGTTCCATAAGAATGTGACTTATGCAGCTGAAAATAATAAAAACCAACATTTTTGGAGTGCTCATTATGTGTCAGGCACTGTGTTACGTACTGAATGTGAATTAAGTCGCTCAGTTCCCCCAACATCTCTGTGATTATTCACCCCATTTTACAGGGAGAAAACTGAGGCTCAGAGAGATTAAGGGAATTGTTTGAGGTCATGTGTTCTAAGATAAAACATTCTCCAAACATTCTTTTCAGAATCCCTATATGTTAATCCTTTTCTCTCACAGCAATACATATGTGTGTGTGTTTTGTGTGTGTGTTTATTAATTGTTTATTAATAGTCATTTATTTAATAGGCCGGCCCAAGGAAAGGAAGGGTGAATGATGCACTCACTTGGTATTCTTCACAAGGTACATGGTAAATCATGGCCTGTCTTTCCCCACAACAAGATAACGGATTCACAGAATCATTCCATGAACTCATAATTTTCCAAGTACACCCAGACAATCTGTAGATTTCTTCCAGTGGGGCACTTATACATTAATAATGTTTTATTTTTACAGGAAGTACAGACATGTGAGGAAGCAGATGCCCTATAGATCTGTCTACACACATACAAGGACGGGGAGATTTTCATATCAGTTCAGACTGGCCACTTACCCACAGTAAAAGGAGGGATTGTCATTTTGAACATATCTGACCCCTTTCTCCCCACCTTTTCTCAATTTGCATAGTTGACCTTTTATAATGATAGTAACTGATAAAGAAGACTAAAATGATCACCAGACGCCCCTACTTTACACATTTGGAGTTGGACAGAGAAGTTCAGGGCTTCCAATGGTAATTCACTTGCCCTTTGAAAGAAACCTGATAACTCCTTAGGAAAACAAAAAAGGGGCCCCATGTAGGGCCGATCAGAATCTAGAAAAAGTGAAAAATTCGGTAGCCCCTCCCAAAGACCGATATATTGGCCAGTTTCTCAGGACAAAGTTACCAGCAATGCCTGAAAAAGCGTTGAAGCACCATGTTATACCCCCCTCAACGGGTGTGCAAAGCCACACACCCCAATGGCCATTCCCCGCTGAGATGTCATTTGTGTTTTCTACTGAACTTTGATGATTTTCTCTCAATTCTCCTGCACATACAGGAGTATTTGCAGGATGCGAAGGGCCTGGAGGAGCAACGAGCCCTCCCACGCACCTGATCATGAATGAAAAGTCATTAGGCAGCCTTTTTAGAGTACCCTCCCCTCTTCCCCAAAGATAATCCTCCACATTTTATCAAATGGGCACCACTGAGAGAGGGTGTCTGGCTGGAGAACAGTTAGGCAGTGCAACTCCCCACTCTAACTATTTGGTTTGGGAGCTGTTAGCCAAATGCTACAGAAACATAACCAGAGGCATTTATTAAAATAAACATTTCAAGAAGTGTAGTTTTCCTGGCCATTAGCAACAGATTCATGATGAAGACCTCTGTTCCTTGAACCCTTGGGGATGCGGCGTGGCACGATGTGGCAGAGCTGTAGGGAAGGGAGACCAGAAGCCCCACACCCTGCAAGGACCCCAGGGGAGATGTGAGGAGCCAGGGGCCGAGGGTAAGACAGTCAGAGGAGGGAGATGCAGCTAGAGCAGCATCAGCACCACGGGAGGGAAGGAAGCGCAGCTCTAGGGTTTGCCTGAGGACAAATCAAGGTAATGTCTTTGTGGGGTGTGTGCAGCCTCCACCTAGTCATTCACCAGGTGGGTTAATGGTTTTTAGTGGGGTTTTACCCTGTTTTAAACATTCATTTCTTTTGTTAGTAATCTTGGGCTGTCTGTATGCGTATCTTTTTGTTATTTAACTTTTCACCTCCTTATATTGAGTTGTAATGAACTTATCATATGATGTCTTCAGATTAAAAAGTCCTGATTTCTAGTCTGTGGACCCCTCACAATGCTTAACAGAGTTCTTCTGCACCGTCTCTGATAAACAGCTCATACAGAGACCCTGCCTTCTGCTTTACTGTGCATCTTTTCTAGAGTCACACTTGTCTTCTCCCTAAATACTTTTTAAAAAGGAATTTTAAAATAATGATTAAAAAAACAGAATTTAAAGAGCTGAACTAGATCTCAGAACTCATTTTACGGATGGAAAAATGATGAGATGATGAGAGTCTATAAGATGAAGAGACTCAAGTCCAATAACCTGTTCAGGTGTCTTTCCATTAAATCACGCTGCCTCCTTTTTAATGTATTTTCAGTAATTTCTAATGTATATGAGGCATCAAAGCCTTGACAAGCTGTGGACCCGGGATTGAGAAAAAACCACAGAAGAGCTAGTTGCTTCAAAATAAGTGAGAATGACACCAAAGATTCCCAGGAGGAGACCCCAGTAGTGGTTTATGTTTGGGAAGGGATGAATTCTTTGGGAACAAATGAAATGCTTTTTGCTAATTCAGTGCTTATTTTGTGGCAATACTCAGGGAGTGGATTGGGCTAAATAAAAGAAAGTTCTAATGAGATCCTCTAGCACTAGAGCAATTAATCGTTTTTTGGTGGCTCCAGAGAGGTAAATTGATGAGTAACAACTGATCCTCTGAGAGAGTGCCAGGGAATTCCACCCTCAGGTAGAAATATCACCCATGGAAAAGAGACCCTTACCTCTCTGCTAGAAAAGTTTCCCCAACTCCATTTAAGGGAGTAAGTGAAGGGGGTCCTTTCTGACTTTTTGGGGGGCGCTGTCTTCGACTTCAGGCTTATGAGAATGGTGCTGCCTGTGTTTTTCTGTACTTCTTCACACCTAATGGATTTCCAATCACTAATAAACATCTGCAGAAAATCCCTTAGTGACAAGTAATCCCTTATCTGGGTTTCTTTTAATAGAACCCAACAATCTGCAGAATGAACCCTAGAGTATCTCCTCAGCATCAGGTGGCAACAGTCAATCAAGTCCCTGGAATGCAAGACAATGCCGGCCGCTGGGAGGGGGAGGGAGGGCCGTGCCTTTGGACATGCCACAGGGGAAAAACAAAAGGCTCCCAAAGTCTCTGGCTGCAACTCTGCAGCTATTGTGGGAGCTGCGGTGCTGAGTGTTCTTCAGGAGAGGAGAGTGGAAACTTCGCTTTGATAAAAGGCCTCCCAATATAGGAACCTTACCCCAGATGGTCTCGCGTCTCCTTGCCCTGATATTTGGAGGAGGGGATAATTGCGAGGAGGTACTTGAATGCACTCATACATCTGAAGGGGGCTGGCCCGCAGCAGCCACCCATATCATCACCATTGTTTGTGCTTGAGTCTCAGAGCAAAGGAGGGCCTTGTGGGCTTAGACGAAATGGGGGAAATGGGAGGGCGTTTTCAAGCCTGCTGAGTCCGTGGCTGGGTTGCACCGAAGCGCGCACACACACACACACACACACACGCATGCACGCACGCTCGCACACACCGTGGGTTGGGTGGGTGGTTGTTTGACTGTTCTTTTTTTTTTTTTTAATCAGTATGAGTGGCAAAGACACATTTTCCCCCCGTCTTCCTCCTCCTCTTCCCAGTTGCTTTACCTTCAAGGATGATTTGTTTTATTAAACTGACTGTCCCTAGCCTCTGCAGTACATAATAAAAGCCTGACATAGCAGGCTGCCTGCCTTCTGTGTCCTGCAGACACTCATCATAAGTGTCAGGACATACCAAGGTTAGCGGTCACTGGAAGTGTGCTCGCTGGCCCAAACCTTGCCAAACGCTCTTGGCAGCTGAATGAATGTCACAGAGAATAGAAGGGGAATTACAAAGGTTAAAAAGAAGACAGCCTCTCCTATTTTCTGGAGACAGAGAAGCTGATTTTTCACACCTCTGAAACATCCACC